AATATTTTATTAAAAGCCATTACTCACAATTTACAAGAGACATAGTGAAACTGGCATGTCATTTCCTTTGTCGGTATTTCGATCTGTGGCCGTTCGCTTGCCTTATTTTATAAAGTGAGTTGTTTTAGTATATTTGTATAGACTCGCTGATATTGACTGGTCACAACCTGTTGCAAAGTTTTGTATTTATACCTTTAGAGGATAAAAACTGTAAGCTTTTTGAATTTGCATAAACCAACAGCAACTCGTTTGAAATTCTCTTCATCTCTTCACAGAATCTGTTTTTTTTTTAGTCGCAATCTCTAATCCTGTTTTAAATTCTATTTTAAATGTTTTATTGAGTTAATTTTGAAACACATATATACATACACAGACACACACATATATATATATATATATATATGTGTGTGTGTGTGTATGTGTATATGTGTAGGAGGCACGGTGGAGTAATGGATAGAGGCTCGGATTGAGGAATCGGCGAGCCGCGTTCGAATTCCAGTCGAATCCGTTCCATTACTTGGGAAAGGAATGAATCCTCTTCTTCTCCAACCAGACTGGGTTCTATACATACAACTGGGATAGCAAATCTGAATTCAAAACCTGAGGGTCGGTTGTGGCTGTCGCTTCCCAGGAAGTTTGGCCCTCCAACGTCGAATATATATATATATATATATATATATAGGCAGCATATCTTCATTCAATCATGTTTCATTGAATAATATCGACATATTATGCCTGTTTATTTTATAATAATCCTTTCTATTTCTCTTATTAGCTTCTTGATGTTCAGCTGAAATTCATGAAGGAAGGTGCCATACTTTTTGCTAACCCAAGTACTTTCAATTTCCTCCGAGATCATCCTTATGAGTGAATTGCGAAGACAAACTTAATGTAATTGTAATTGTTGTGATGGTGATTTTTCGAAAACACATTTTTGTAAATGCGTTATAATTATGTTAAAATTAATCGTTGTGATTATGATGTTTTGTAAACAAGACTTTCCAATACCAGATGGGTAACCGGAGATGGTAAATTGCAACACCTTGTTTAATGTTAATCAACTCAAATGCATTTTAAAACATTACTACTACACTCGTAATAAATTTTCTTCAGTGTTGTTGGTTGATTTTGATATAGAAGGCCTCAAGAAATTGAAGATTTTGTTTATTATTTTTATTGTGTAGTATATTGGTGTTTTCAATAAATATTTTCCTGTTTTATGAAGGTGAACAGGAATGATCTTTAAATGTGCGATAGAAGTTGTATCCGAGAAATGAAGTTAAAGACGTCTTGATAATATATGGAGTAATGGATAGGGGCTTGGATTGAGGAATCGCAGAGCCGAGTTCGAATTCCAGTCGAATCCATTACATTCACTTACGTGCTAATACCCTTGGGAAAGGTATGAATCCTCTTCTTCTCCCTCCAGCTATGGGTAAAATAGCAGGACAGACTGGGTTCTATAGCTTTGGATGGCAACTGGTCTAGGAGAAGGACAAGTCTGAATTCAATCCCTGCGGAGGGTCATTTGGGGACCCTGTGGCATGTAGTGCACCAGGTCTCTGTATTCGTCCCTTCACAAAGTGTGGATGGTCCTGCACGAAGCCTTCACCACTATAATCAAATCTCATGTGCCGGTCTCGGGCTGTCGGTTTCCTGGAAACTGATCTGCTTGGCCCTCATACGTCAAATCCGACAGGAGAGTCGACTATATATATATATATATATATATATATATATATATATATATAACTATTACGGCTAATAAATAATGCAAGACTCTTCGTTAAATCGAATTGAGTTCTCTCAGTCACTGTGTATTTATCTAAAAATAAATATGCTTAAAAGTCACCTTCATCCGTGCGCCAACAGATTATTGGTAGAATCTCCGACTGACGCCAATTCAGTCGGGTTGCAATCCTAGCTAGAGGCAACCGGACGTCTAGCCACACTGATGGGCTGTAATACAGCGAAACAGTCTTTCTGTGGATGACAATATATATATATAAAATATGTGGTGCAGTTCTATTCAGATTACAATGAATCATTCACATAAAAAGTAAATTACTAAAGTTAATGATATAAAATGGCGAAACCCCTTCGCTAACAAAATTTTAAAGATGCATTATCCTACCAATCACTCAATGAATGTTATGATCCTTGTTTTTTAAACATTCATCGAGTGATTGGTAGGATAATGCATCTTTAAAATTTTGTACAAGTCTTGTTCTAATGTACATCGTCTTTGTCATGTTGTATTGATAATGTTATATTTATGAATATGTCCTGAAGATGGTTTATTAGACCGAAACGTCAGACGTTGACATATTAACATTAAAACAACATAATCGTATATAAGGATTTTTGTTTGTTTTTTCCGTATATATTTTTATTCATACTGTCGGATCTATATCCATATATTTGCTTATATTATATATATATATATATATATATATATATATATATATATATATATATATATATATATATATATATATATATATATTTCGTTGTTGGAATTGTTACCTGATGAAGTGGAGTGTTTTAAAAGGATTTTTGAAATAAATTATTGTAATGCTCTTTAATTTGGTCTGTTTTTCAATAAATATTAGCTCTGTATTATACATTGAATAATATATATATATATATATATATATATCTTATCTTTCATCAAGAACGCGTATAGAAATACGATGTCCCTTTCGAAATATTTTTGGAACTTAAAAGATGTTAACAAAACCCTTACGGTAAAATTGAAAAAAAAAACTAGAACTTGTAAATCGTTAAATGAACCGTGTTTCCTATATTTACAAGCAAAATTATAAACAATCAAATTTTCTGACAAAAAAAAAATCTGCTGTTAAACCAAAGGAGTGAATTAACTGTAAATTACCAACACAGTTTATCTTTTACCTTAAAATATAGTTAAAATAAAAAAAATAATTACGTATTACCACTTTTTATAGGCATAATTTATTAGTATATAATTGCCCAACCTCTACATCTAATTACCTTATATCATTCATTCAGCTTAAATATTGCCAATTATTACCTTCTATTTACTATTATTAACACCATATATTGATGTTCCACATTTTTAATTTTATCTACAGGCCTCTTTAAGAAGCTTGCTGGATATATGTTTTTTTAATTTCTTCGGTTAACTTTGGTTGTCTAATTAACCTACCAACTCCCTTAAACAATTAGAACTTGTCATTTCTGGCTACAATAACGATACATTTGTCGCTGTCATATTCTCCACAACCGTCAATGTTGCCATGTCTATATATTGGTTTATCGCGACATGAAGAAAAAAAACCTCACCCACCTCCACCCTATGACCTTCTTTTTCTATTTAGCGTTGATATGACATTTAATTGGTTAATCCAGACATACCCACAAGTCTATTTTTAATTTCTGACCTTATGCCTCACTTTTAACTTTAGGAAAATAGGTGAAAATTTGTTTTTAAAATTTCCTAAGAAATCATTTTATAACCAGCTACTTACCATCATCTGAGGAAGTACATTCATAGAATTGAAACATGAAAACATTTGTGTAGCGATTTCAAAATGTTTTTATTATAAACTCTTATAATAAATGAATAAGTAAAATCTGGACAAATGGAGTATGATTCCTCTGTACGTAACATTAAATTTAAAGGAGGGTTCAATATCTAGGTTTTATTTGCAGACAACTTCGTGTCATGACCTATATATAAAAAAATTTCCGATGAATTTGAATTTAGCGAATGTCACGTTTGATTTGTTAATCACGTCAAAGCCCACAAGTGTATATGTTTAAAAGTTTTCTGCTTTTTAAAATTAAATTAATCTTTCACTCACCAGTAGTTTAACATCGCCTGAAGAGACACATTTATGGTGTTGAAACTTAATTGTAATTGTATAGCGATTTTTTATATATATATATATATATATATATATATATATATATATATATATATATATATATATATATATAAATTTATATATATATAAATAAGCGCTTAAATTCATGTTGTCTGGGAACCAGCGAAAGCAGCTCATCGGAGCAGTTACCATGAAAGTATTTGTAAAAAGGACAGAATGAGGCAATGGCATGTCTGTGAGAAAGAGGCTGCAGACGAGATGCCAGATCATGGCCACTTACATTGCATATCTGTCTTTGGATTTGCAAGGGCGAATGGTTGATTTGTAGATTTGAAGGATCGACTCCGGCGAGAAAAATTTCCTGGCGCGGCACAGGGAGCCAACTTTTCTTGCGGTGGACGAATCTATTGACTCAATGTATTTGTTCCATCTCAGGTCAGCAGTCAAAAATCACATTCACATTGCTAATTAATTCTTTGTATAAATTGCTTCTTTATGATATAATATATAGGCTGCACACTCTAACATATATATATATATATATATATATATATATATATATATATATATATATATATATATATACATATATATGTGTGTGTGTGTGTGTGTGTGTGTATGTGTGTGTGTGTGTGTGTGTGTGTGTGTGTGTGTGTGTGTGTGTGTATGCCCATCCCCTGTTTGCGTGAATTGGCTATTTGATTTGCATTAAATTTTAAATATGAATGTCAAGTAAATTTTTGTCGACTATTTTTATAATAACTTCAATTTCTGATGTTGCTTGGCTGGTTTTATGGGGCAAATACAATGGATAATGGCAGTCGTTGGCCTTGAACTTAAATCCATTTCGATGCTACCAGTCACCACCATTCACAAAAAACAAATATCAAGAAGAAAAGTAAATAGGGCAGCCATTTCCGGAAGCGGGAAAAAAAAAACTTATTGCATCACGTTGATTTATATTCGTCAATATATTCCAAATATTTATTTATTCTAACACATGTTTCTAAGTTATACGTGTCTTACGGCCACATCACGAAGTTAAGCAACGTCGACCCAGGTCATTATCTTGATGGGTGACCGCTTGTGAATACCAGGTGTTGTAAGCTTGAATGTTCGAAGCGATGGCTTACGGACACATCACGTTGAAACTCTGATTCTCGTACGATCACCGAAGTTAAGCAACGTCGAGCCAGGTCGATACCTAGATGGGTGACCGCTTGGGCATACCAGCTGTTGTAAACTTAGATGTTCGAAGCGATGGTTTACGACCACATCACGTTGAAACACCGCTTTGTGCGATCACGGAAGTTAAGTAACGTCGAGCCTGGTTAGTATTTTGTTGGGTGACCGCTTGGGAAAACCACCTGTTGTAAGTTTGGATGTTCGAAGCGATGGTTTTCGGACACATCACTTTCAAACACCAAAGGTAAGCAATGTCGAAATTGGTCTGTACCTCGATGGGTGACCGCTTATGAATATCATTGTAAGTATGGATGTGCGGATGGTATGGCTTACAGTACCGAGATGGGTGACCGCTCGGGAATACCAGGTGTTGTAAACTTGGATGTTCGAAGCGATGGTTTACGACCACATCACGTTGAAACACCGGTTCCCGTACGATTACAGAAGTTAAGCAATAAAAGAGCCTGATAAATAGCTGGGTGACCGCTTAGGGATATCGGGGGCTGTAAGCTTCGATGTGCGGGTAGTGTAATGGATAATGGCTCTGAATTGTTAATTGTAGAGCTGATTTCCAATTCCTATTGGGTTCATTATATTCATTTACACACAATACTCTTGGGAAAGGTATCTAGCCACTTCTCCTCCCAACAATGGGTTAATTAATAATATTTTTTTTTATCATTAAACCATTTTTTGGAGCCTGGTCAGTAGCTAGATAGGTGACCCGCTTGGGAATACCAAATGCTGTAAACTTGGATGAGTGGGTGGTGTAAATGGATAATGACTCTGAATTGTTAATCAGAGAGTCGAGTTTCAATTCCCCTCATCTATGGGTTAATTAGTAAGATTTTTTATCATTAAACCATTTTCTATTTATGGCTTATAAACTTTGAATTTGTTGCACTTTGTTTGCATAATACAATCTAACATCTACACAAGAAGTTGATATATAAGTGGGAGTTTATTTGTTAGCTATTTACAACAAAATCTTTGTGTATACATACCTCAAAATTGGTGTGTATAGTTATGGAAAATGACTTGGAATTGTCAACTGGGGAGCCGAGTTCCAATTCCAGTTGGTTTCGTTACATTCACTTGAGTGGAAATACCCTTAGGAAAGGTATGAATCCATCTCTTCTTCCCCAGCTATGGGTTAATCAGTAACACTTTTATTTTCTGGATTTAGATAATCTACAAAGGGTTGATAAGCCGTGAAAAACCAGTCAATGAATCAATAAGATAAAATATGTGTTACATAGACTCATTTTCTTATATTCAAACAGATAATGATAATGATATTGATCGTCACTGGGTGGCGAACGATTGTAAACTTGTGTAAGTAAGTATGAATTTCGCAGTTAGGTTATTATTTCCCTTCTGGCTTTCCGTACTTTGATAGATTCCGCTGCAATGTTTGTTGATTCTTTTCTGTGATTCTTTTGTTTGTTCACTGTGTGTCATTTCCTTCACAAAGGATTCCAAAGGGGGTCATGGCATCCATTAACATCATGTGACTTAATTATAAATCAAGATGGTTTTTGTTCTTTCTTTTTTGCTGAGTCAAAGGATTTCCTTATTATCTGACGTATAGACTGAACAAATGAGTAAATAAATTCTCATGGCACATTGATTAATCTATTAAGGTCATGCGGCTGGAAACAAGTGTAATTAGATAATCTTTCATCTAAGGTTTCAAATTCTAAATGTAATTTTATGGCACACTGACTACTATATAATGGTCATATAATGCCAAACCAGGGGCTTTGAAGGTGGTTCTTATAGACTTCAATCCTGATTCTGAATGTGGTTTTATGGAACACTACTACTATATATTGGTCATCTAGTGGCAAACAGATTTTCAAGTAAATATTCATAAACTTTAATTACATCTCCGAGGTTCTTATTCTGAATGATGTTTTGTGGCACATTGACTCCTATATAATGGTCATTAGGTACCAAACAAGGATTTCCAAGTAAATCTTAGTAGACTTTAATCCCATCTCCAAAGTTCTGAATCTTAATGCTGTTTTGAGACACATTGACTCCTACATAATGGTCATACGGGGCCAAACAAGCGTTTTTAAGTAGATTATGATAATCTTCAATTCTTAGAGAACACACACACACACACACACACACACACACACACATATATATATATATATATATATATATATATTTAGAAAAAAATGACAAACTGAAAGTTTTTTTTGTGACGCGTTTCATCCGTTAGGATTTCATCGAACTGGTCTACACATGCGCAGGAAACGAGAGACGCTGCTAGTTACAAAATTTTTTTAAAGAAATCTGTTTGAAAGAAGATTTTTCTCAATCTAACCAAATTTCTCTTTAGATCGCAAAAAAATAGTATAATATAGGATAACAAAATAAAAACATTTTGGCTTTGTTAAAAATAAATATTTGCTTTTTCTAAATACTGTTTGTTGATATATAAAATTATACAAAATTATATATCGTTATATCACACACACACACGCACACACACACACGCTCACGCACGCACACACCCATACACACACACACATATATATATATATATATATAATTAATACAAATAACATTTGTCACTTAGCTGATATTGATTATATTCAGCACATCACCTCTGGAGTTTCGTTGATGAACTTTTTCGTAATTACTCGGTTCACTCTTCAGGAGGTTTCAGCGATTGATTTTCTCTCTCTCTCACTTTAATAGAGGTAGAGGAAGTATGTATATATATATATATATATATATATATATATATAGCATAATGAGAAGCCACGTATACTTTCTTAATATGTATATAGAAAAAGTTTCAAATTAAAATTATAATGTTTTATTTTATGAAAGTATTTATTTATTTATATATATATTTGATATTTCAAATTGTCCTCAATTTTTCATCAGAAATAACAAATTATTATTAAGATTTGTTTGTTACAAACAGTTATTTCTGATGAAAAATTGAGGACAATTTGAAATATCAAATATATATATAAATAAATAAATACTTTCATAAAATAAAACATTATAATTTTTAATTTGAAACTTTTCTATATATATATATATATATATAGATAGAGAGAGAGAGAGAGCGAGTATATATATATATATATATATATATGTGCGTGTGTGTATGTATGTATGTATATACAGATTGCCGCAGCCATGGCAGCCATGGCCAAATTGACAAAAAATATGGAGGAGCAAAATCAGTATTCAAACTAAGTACATACTGTACAAATCGTCGATAGTCTCCAATCTCCTATATGGATGTGAAACGCAGACACTGTTGGCAGATACAGAGGGAATGATCTAAGCGTTTGAGAACAAATGCATGAGAAAACTCCTTGGCATTTTCTATTGGGAACAAAAAAAAACAAACAATGAGTTTGTGTGGAAAAGGGTTAAAAGTTTTGTGGGGCATCAGGAACCCCTTCTCACCAATGTCAAACGGCGAAAAATGGCGTGGTTTGGACACATTATAAGGCACGACAGCCTGTGCAGGACCATCATGCAAGACACCGTTGAAGGTGGACGTAGGAGAGGACGCCAGCGAAAAATTCGCTTGAGGATGAAATGGAACTAATGTCTTTGATTTAATTACAAAATTAAATTCGTAGCTTTTAGCTTCCATTTTTGAAACATGGTTAAAACTGTGTAGCGAAAAAAAACATTTTAAATAAATCAATTTATGATATATATATATATATATATATATATATATATATATATATATATATATACGCTCGTTGTTGATTAAAGCTAGATCCACAATCGAAAAGGCAACTAATTATTCCATATTGATGTGCGAATGGCCAGGTTGTTGAGGAATGTTTTTCTTTTACATCGATACACCATCTCAAGATAAATTATCAACCAAGTTTAAAGAACTCCTACCTGTACATTAATTGAAGATCATGACCACCACCCAATTCCATTCTCAAGACTTGGGTCCATTCGTAGTAAGGCATCTCCCAACTATGTCACACACTTGGATCGTCTCTCCCTCCAGGAAGCCGGTATTGTTATAACCAACCATAGTGAGATTCGAACCCAGCACTCATGGTCTTAACACTAACGTTCTAACCAATCAGCTATCCGCCCATTATCCACTTTGAAAGCCCCCCTATAATTCTACAGTCTCTCATACAAGGACAAAATACATCCTGCCTTTCTCAATATTGTTTACTAGGTCATGTTAGCTGAGTATTTCCCTTAAGAGCGCATGCAGCCATCTTACCATCAGGTTCATCTAATATAGCTCTAAATATATCAGTAAAATAATTGTTTAAGAATCTAATTCTCAACATTTACATTATTTACATAAGGACCATTATCCTTATCTCTTTATCCTATCACAACGTTTCGACCTTTGTGTCCTCCAGCCTTCATCAGATATATATCGATCAGGGTAACCTACAGGGAATCCAAAATTGAATCCTTTATTTAATCTCCGGGTGTAAACTGTTCTTATTCCATTGAACCTGTCCTACGGCACAATAGACTAGCGGATTAAACCAGTGGTCCGTGAATTTGGTGACATAATCATTGTGAGTTCAATCCCTTGATTGGGCAGTGTGTATTTGGACTCAGTGGAAACAGGACAAGCAATAACTGTGCAGTACTAAAAATAAGATCTAGACAAGATATCCCTAGACATGGACAGGGGAACGAAAACAGTCTACCCTCGTAGAGTAAATAAAGGGTTCAGTTGGTAATCCTCTGTGGATTATCCAAATCGATATACATCTGAGGAAGGCCGCTGGGTGTCGCAGGTCTTCTTTCCTCTTCAACCACGTGGGTCAAAAATAGGACCCTAGTTTCGAGCGGGAATTCGTCTGATTGATTACGATTATTTTATCCGAAAAAAAAAAAAAAATGAAATTTGGTTACTGGAGCCACCGACTCAGAGACACATTTTGTCATTTGATACTTCCGTCGCCGACCTGTTTTTCTCGAAGTTCCAACAAATATAGGAGGTACTATAAGGGCACACATGAGGAAGGCCGAAGGGCATAGCGGCTGAAACGTTGTGATAAACAATAACAAAGGTGAGAACAATAGTCCGAATATATATAGGGCCCTCACCACAGAAATACAAACAGAATTACAGTTTTCATGTCCTTTTTCTGTTCAGAATGACTTACTTCTCTTTGTGATTTTAACTTAAGGGTGATTGTTCAGTTGC